GCACCTATTCCTGCAAAGGGCTGTCAGCCCTTCTCAAAAAAGCAATCATCGGTTGACTTGAGAGGATAGCAGCAGAGCTTGTCGATTTAGTCTTCGTGGTGATGATCACTTTCTCTGAAGCCTTTGTTCTAGTTCTTCTTTGGCTTTGGCGTTTTCAATTCAGGTTTCAGGGTGGTGTCTTTCTCTTTGAAACAGAGGATGAGGAACCTGACACCAGCACATGGATTATAAATTTAGACTAGAAAAAAAAATAAAACCCACAGGAAAATAAAACGTCCACTTTATTATCTTGTTTGGTGGCAATTTTCTTCTCCTAGGTGTCGCCTTTGTTTCCTTTTGTTGCCTGGCCTTTGTTTCTGCCTTCTTTGTCGTCTTCTTCTTTGATGATATACAGGGTTTTGATTTTTTAGACTCTTGTTTCGCAGATGTCTTCTTGGCAGGTATCGAGTTATTTGCATCCTCCACTGCCTTTAAAGCTTATATCCAAGTAAATAGACTGTCGAATAGATATAACAAAGGTACTCACCTTTCTCTCGCTTTTCCTGCATTTCAGCAAGAATCTCCATTTCCTTGTCATTCTTTGTCCTGGCCTTTGGTTTGCTACCTGACCCGTGGAGCTTCAAGTTGAGCATTTCCTGCTGCCTCCACCTACTTTCAGCTAATTTCCAAAGTCACCTTGTCTCCAATGCTGTTACAAGTTTTTCCAACCAACCATGGAAATTCACCAAGGGATCTGTAAACTCGAAAAAATCACCATTGAAAAGTAGTTAATCATCCAGGTCTCCACCATGGTCACAGATTTCATCTTCAGCTGATTGTCTTGAAGCCTGGATAGTCAAGTCTAAGGATTCACTATAACTCCCAGATGAAGGAACCAGTAAAACTAAATAGGATTAGAATTTGAACTGCCAACTGAACATAGGAAATACTCACTCTAACATTATTATCATATGAGCAAAATGCAAGCACATGACTTTCAAACTGGAAAGCAAGTACGATCTTGAATTTACGAGTCTATCACAAATTGAGTATATCAGGATGCATATAACGAGATAGAAATTAGACCTTTTTATCAACTTTACATATAGTTTCGAACCAGTCATTGATAGTGTAGATGTTGGGAGAGCAATGCGCTAGGACTTGAATCGATATATGTCAGCTTTGAGAGATGTAAAAACAGGATGATACGTGCATGAAGAATGACTTCCTTCAAGTCTAAGCAGACAAGCCTGGGATGCTTAAAAACATTCTGAAGAACTAGACCAGCAGTTTGACAAATATCCATCTCCTTCTCAGTCCCTTCCAAAGTTTGGTGTAGTGTAGGTACAGCATAGCTTGATGGAAAGATTGTAGTGACATTTTATCTCCTCGGGTAAGATGAGCCATAGACTTGGTCAGAGGAAAGACCATTCCTTGCTTAGTGACTTCTACCACATGTTCTGGCAGAGCAATTGTACCATTCTCCTCCTCCTCTTTAGCATCAACCCATAGCTGAAGTATATCCAAAGAGAAAGATTTTCTATGACTGTACTCAATAAAATCTTTAATGACCCAGTAGAAGAAGAACAGTTCCCGAACTTCAGGCATTTCAAAGGAGATCAGTGGGTGATTGTAGTGGACAAAGTTGAACTTGCCAAATTTAGAACACTAGATCAACCCAGATACCAAGTCTGATCATCTTTAGAATTTAATTCAGAGGTGCAGTTTACTCAGAAGGAGGGTTTAAGATCATAAATAACTAAAATATATCTTTGGAGGTACATGCAAATTATCCAATGTTAGCTATGTGGCCCCCCAGTGCACTGAAATTCAAATGAAAAACTGTTGGAAGACTTAAGCCTTGTGATGATGCTCAAGACACTTGATAAAGACACTAGCAGCGGCAGCTTCTGTTGGGGCACTAATGTTAAGAACAATAGCATCGCTTGTACTTTCTCCTAATCATAGACTGAGGTGAGCCACTTTTGCACGTCCACGATATTCGAAGGGTCTTCATGGTTTGAAATATGACTAGAATTATGGTTTCGTGTTGAACAGTGGAGATGGCTGCTGGGTGAGGGTGGAGGCAAGGGAAAAGGTTGAGGCAGTCTCCTTATTGTGCTAGGAAGTGATTTGGAAACTGCTGCTGATGGCATTGATAAAGAAAATGGAAGACCAGAAAAAGTAGTAGTCAGAGATGGAGTTATAGGTACTGATTCAAGCAATGGTGATGGGGAAGAGGATGGAGCAAAGAAAGCTGCTGTCAGTACTGATGGGGCCTGTGCTTCTTCTTCCAGTAGAGTCGGTGTTACAGTAAGAGGTGACACTGAGGGTGAAGAGTGAGCAAATAAAGCGGTAGAGGCTGAGGCCTGCGCAACAACAGGTGAAGAGGTACTACAAGTTCAAGACCCATTGAAGTAAGTAACTGTGTGCTATAACTGCAGCATACTCTGCTCCCAAGATAACGTGTGATTATCAGTAGCAGTGGTGGTTCCTACTATGTTGGTTTCATTAGAGAGTTCATTGGATGACGTAGTAGCAGCAGTAGTGGTTACTACTGAGTTGGTTTCGTTGGAGAGTTCATTGGATGATGTCATGATATCATTAGTGGATGTCGAGGTGTTATTAGTTATATCATCAGCGGAATCATCATTATCGCTGGTCAATGCAGCAGGAGGATGAGGACAGTCTAAATGGCATTCTGGACATGGCCTATCATCATTACTATGTTGACCAAACAGTGTCTGGAGAGGTGTTTGGAGATCGTAAAGGACGTGGTATGTGAAGCAGGAATGCACTTGGCCATCCCCAAGTAATCCATTGAGGCGATATTTTGTGCCTGTTAATAAAATGAGTGAGTTTATATTCTTAGAAGAGTAAAGAGAGTAACAATGCTCACGTACCAATAAGGATTATTGGTGTCCTGTCTTCAGAATTAGCGAGAGCAGGTAAGCATGCGAGTTTATTCAGCGTTTCAAGAGTAATGTCGTATTGCTGGATTTGAGCATCTTTGATAACAGCACCTAAGCTTGGATTTGACTTTTCAGGATGAAGAACCGTGAATGGCATTAATGTGAGAGCAGGAAGCTGAGCAGGAAGTGGAGAAAGGCACCAAGGCTGCATTTGCATATTATTCGCATTGATGTGGGCTGCGAGATGGCTGTACAGTTGATCCACAACTGGGCGATTAAGTTCAGCAATAGAAAAAGTAATATCAAATGTGAGATTATATTCCTGGAGAGTGGTGATATTTTCCGCAAAGATGTTTGATGATAATCGTAAGTGGTTGCGGGTTCTGGGAACATAAGGATCATTCACGTCGGTAATAGTGCCATCCTGTATTGAAAATTGCTTAGCTTGAATAAATGAGTATGTTTGTTTAGTTACTCACATATATTGGAATCAAAAGTACAAGAAATTTCTGTGCATAGAGCCCAGAGACTGAATCTTGAATAGGACCATTAATACGATTGGTTTTTCCTGATTTCGCAGGTCGACCACCATTTGCTAAATGGCAAGAACTCATGTTCTGCAATGCTGCAAAGGCAGTAACATTTGTTCGTCTATGTCCATTGACTCCAGAGCTGCTTGCTGAGCAGTGACAGATCCATCTCTGGGAACATTGATTCATGTGGTCATGACAGAATTTGCAGAAGCAGGCATTGGTGCATGTCGCTGTGCTGCTTCGATGCATCTGGAATTCGTAGTTCCTGATGGATTGGGAATATGGCTAGGTGACTGCCACGGTGGATTGGTGGATGAAGACATTACCGAAGATTGTGAAAGTGAAGGAGGCCGGTGATGAGCCTAAACTTCCATGGCAACGGCAAAAACCAAAACTCTAGAGGAGTTCACGGCAAATGGCGCGTGGCGGCAATAAAGGCTTTGTTGTTGTGCGAGTGTTTCGGTGCACCTCTGTGCGATGAATTCCTCAAGAACGCAAGTATACACTGTGACTTTTCAGTCAGTGAAGTAGTACCCTTAACGATCGAGTACTAGAAAACGTTGGCTGTAAGCCGGGAAGGGTCTCGATAGACGAGAAGGAACGGAATTGGTATAACTGGGAATACCGGCAAACCGTGAACGAAGTGATGGCAATTTAACTAGTAAAAGCCGTGGGCGATGTTGACGGAATTAGAGAAAATGCCGTCAAAGAGAAATACCGTTGGCAAGATAACAAATACCGTGACGGCAAGAGACGAAGACTGTAGTCGAGAAACGAGAAACTGGCGGTAAAACAAAGATAAGACGAACTGGCGATGATATGAGGGGAACTAGTGACGGTAAAACGATGGCTGGGACTGGGCTGGACTAAAACTAAACTATACTGAGGTTAACGACGGCAAAATGAAACTGATACTAATCCTGAGTCTACACGGAGACTATCCTATACTGAAACTGACGGCAAGATACCAAATACCATGACTGACGATCCTATACTGAAGCTGTTGACCGAAATTCTGTGACAGATGCTGCTGGCGGCAATTACGATCCTAATCTGAGTCCGCACGGGGACGTAACGATCCTGAACTGAACTGGGTAAAATGATGGCAACGTAGAAGGTGAAAACTGATGAAAACGATCCTGGCTGGTGAAAGTGAAACGATGCTGGCGGATTAAAAGATAAAAGTGAGTTGTGGACACCAAATTCCATGTATTGGCGCAATATGAGCGTACACCAATACCGTTAGAAGAAAAGCCATGACAGAGAGTATAACTTGGAGTGACTATGTTGTTATTGTCTCTCCTAGCGAGTACAAGCGATAACGGTGGTCGATAACGTGGATTATGGCTAGTGTCCAGTAACTTCTTTCTAGCAACTCCTACTATACTAGCTTTTATACTACAAGTCCAGAATAAAATTAGAATACTTGAAACGAGTCCTTAGTAAGTCCTTAGTACATCGATTGGTAAGAAATGATACAAAACACGTGCTCCCAGAGTTCTAAAGTAACAGCACCCACACGGTTTTACCGCGTATAGACTTAGTGATCAGAAAGAATTCCCCCGACATATGGACTCTTGGGCTGCTGTGTTGCTGTGGCAAAGTACACTGAAGGTAGTACACTGAAGTAGATGCGTGCGGCATTATCTTGGCGTTGTAACAGCCTTAGAAGTGAGTGGAAAGGTCACGGTATTAGGTCTTTTGCCGTGGAGTTGGTACTTTGACTGCGGCTTTCTAAATGACGCTTGATGCTGAGGTCATCGATGGCTGTGCTGGGCAATCAATGATGGTCCTAAATCCATGAGATCTGCAATCAGGTGCCTGGTGGCATTAATGAAGTGGCGCATATTGATACGGAATACGAGCTGGGAAGGATAGTTGGCGGTAAGAGTGGGTATTGCCATGATTGCAATCGTTGACTTTAGTGAAAGTCCGCTAAGTGGACAAGGCATTTATTATAATGCTAAAATCCGTGAATTCTGAGCATACAGAGCCTTGAGGCTCATCACCGGATAACAGGAGTAGGAGCAGTAGAAGTGGAAGCAGAGGGTGCAGCGAAAGTGGAAGCAGAGGTTGTGACTGGAGTGACTGGATGTTGTTGTGGTGGCAGTGATTCGTGGGCAAGCCAAGATTGGCCACATCCAGCTCTTGAACACAGTGTAGTTGGGGTATAATCTGCTGGCTGGAGAGAAATTTTATATGCATTTTATTGCACAATAGGTCGAATTACTAACTGCAAAAACCCGGAACACCGTCCTGTGATACCACCCTTGGCTGGAGGATCAACATGGCATGGTGTTGTTTCATATGCGATGATGAGCCTCAAGGCTCTGTATGCTCAGAATTCCGGATTTTAGCATTATAATAAATGCCTTGTCCACTTAGCGGACTTTCACTAAGTCAACGATTGCAATCACGGCAATACCCACTCTTACCGCCAACTATCCTTCCCAGCTCGTATTCCGTATCAATATGCGCCACTTCATTAATGCCGCCAGGCACCTGATTGCAGATCTCACGGATTTAGGACCATCATTGATCGCCCAGCACAGCCATCGATGACCTCAGCATCAAGCGTCATTTAGAAGAATGCCGCAGTCAAAGTACCAACTCCACGGCAAAAGACCTAATACCGTGACCTTTCCACTCACTTTACTAAGGCTGTTACAACGCCAAGATAATGCCGCACGCATCTACTTCAGTGTACTACCTTCAGTGTACTTTGCCGCAGCAACACAGCAGCCCAAGAGTCCATATGTCGGGGGAATTCTTTCTGATCACTAAGTCTATACGCGGTAAAACCGTGTGGGTGCTGTTACTTTAGAACTCTGGGAGCACGCGTTTTGTATCATTTCTTACCAATCGATGTACTAAGGACTTACTAAGGACTCGTTTCAAGTATTCTAATTTTATTCCGGACTTGTAGTATAAAAGCTAGTATAGTAGAGTTGCTAGAAAAGTTACTGGACACTAGCCATCATCCACGTTATCGACCACCGTTATCGCTTGTACTCGCTAGGAGATAGACAATAACAACATAGTCACTCCAAGTTATACTCTCTGTCACGGCTTTTCTTCTAACGGTATTGGTGTACGCTCATATTGCGCCAATACACGGAATTTGGTGTCCACAACTCGCTTTTATCTTTTAATCCGCCAGCATCGTTTCACTTTCACCAGCCAGGATCGTTTTCATCAGTTTTCACCTTCTACGTCGCCATCGTTTTACCCAGTTCAGTTCAGGATCGTTACGTCCCCGTGTGGACTCAGATTAGGATCGTTATTGCCGCCAGCAGCATCTGTCACGGAATTTCGGTCAACAGCTTCAGTATAGGATCATCAGTCACGGTATTTGGTATCTTGCCGTCAGTTTCAGTATAGGATAGTCTCCGTGTAGACTCAGGATTAGTATCAGTTTCGTTTTGCCGTCGTTAACCTCAGTATAGTTTCAGTTTCAGTCCAGCCCAGTCCCAGCCATCGTTTTGCCGTCACTAGTTCCCCCTCATATCATCGCCAGCCAGTCTTATCTTCGTTTTACCGCCAGTTTCTCGTTTCTCGACTACAGTCTTCGTCTCTTGCCGTCACGGTATTTGTTATCTTGCCAACGGTATTTCTCTTTGACGGCATTTTCTCTAATTCCGTCAACATCGCCCACGGCTTTTACTAGTTAAATTGCCGTCACTTCGTTCACGGTTTGCCGGTATTCCCAGTTATACCGGATTCCGTTCCTTCTCGTCTATCGAGACCCTTCCCGGCTTACAGCCAACGTTTTCTAGTACTCGATCGTTAAGGGTACTACTTCGCTGACTGAAAAGTCGCAGTGTATACTTGCGTTCTTGAGGAATTCATCGCACGGAGGTGCACCGAAACACTCGCACAACAACAAAGCCTTTATTGCCGCTACACGCCATTTGCCCGTGAACTCCTGTAGAGTTTTGGTTTTTGCCGTTGCCCACGGAAGTTTAGGCTCATCATTCTGGAGCCCACCGCGAGGGTTTCGTTTCCACGGAATTCTTCATCGTTCGTATACCGAACCTAATCCACTTTTCAATTCGCCCTTTGTAGCGGTCTACGGTCTGCTACAAACCCGAATCTTTCACCATTCCATCTAAATTCGAACGCACTACCCCATACGTCCCAGTTCAAGGCAGAGGCCTTAGAGATACCACCGCTCGTCGACAGTTACAAGAATCTACCGCGCATTTAGCTCCAGACACAAGAACCAGAGGCATCTTCCTCCACCGTACCTTCAGAAACCGCAGAACCCGATTCTCCTGAATCCCAGTCATTCCCAGGAGGATTACCGCATTCACCACTTTCCCCTTACCCCGAAGAACTCGATATCTCTACTGGAAATCCGCTACGGTTTTCAGATACCAGTGACGAAGAAGAAGGTCACAGGAGACCTTTTAGGATCAGATTACGGGACCGCACCCGTATCCCCAGCTCGTTCCGCAGAAGATTTCTTCAAGGATATTCCTTTGGAGCAGCATCTTTTACCGCGTACCGCGACAAACGACTCGTCAGAATCTAGTGACGAACTAGAATTACCACAGCTCCATCTTCTACTCCCGAACCTTCGGTAAAAGAAGAACCCATCGAACCCAATCTTAATATCGCAAACCCAACTGTACCACCTGTAATTCCGGTCGTACCGCCACCTTCCTACCACCACCAGTAATACCACCAGTCATCATGGCAGCACAAATGCCCTATCGCAAAGAAAAGAGCGCGCCCGTCATTATCGACGAGACTAGCCCAGGACGCGAGCTTCCTCGCTATATCGTTGATATCGAGCAGCTGTTCTCACGTGCTCAGATAACCGATAATACCGAGAGAAAGAAATGGTTTATATTCTAATCCCGGTTTAATGGTCTCGGAATTTTGGGAATCCCTTCCTGAATATTCTGACGCTAATAGCACCTACGACCAATTTAAAGCCGCCGTGTTAAAGCAGTACCCAGATGCTAATACCGAGCGCAAATACGAGCGTCATGATCTCGATCGAGTCATTGGCAACTACGCCAGAGAGGTCGACACGCTTGCGGAATTGGGAGCTTTCTACAGGGAGTTCTACCCTA